ATATATATATATAATTACATTATATTATCATAATTATTTCTTGAGAGCACAAATACAATCTTTAAATAATCATCATGTGCTGTTCAGAAACAAACATTCATGAAATAGACAAAAAGGTTCCACTCTACCCTATACTAATAATTTATAAATAAAATGTAATTTATAAATAAAAAATGATAAAAAAGGAGCAGAGCATACCAAACCAGAAGTTTACAATAGCATCTTTATTTAGCTGACACCACACGTATAACACACTGAGCACCATGGGGTCCATAAGCAGGGAGAAATCGCCAAGAAGTCCAATGATAACGCAGCATATCCAATTAAACAACAGAAGAAAGCAATAATCCGCGGGCTTTCCATCATACTCTCCACGCTCTAACCTTAATGAGTAATTGTACAAGAAATAGCAATTGATCAGGAAATGAAAGCCGGTGCTTTGGTTGAGAGGATAGTAAAAGACGCTTGTCACCGCCCGCCAGATTTCAAAATTATGCAGAAATCGGTCGGGCCACAGCACCAACGAAAGCGGGCTCAGAAATCCAAATCTGCCGAGTAATGTCAGAACCGCGGTACACAACAACCAATATCTCGTAAATATAGGTAGAGAATTGAACCAGTCTCTCACATCTGACATTTTACGTAGTCTCTACAATCTCGTTTTTGTGCTTATAATATCGCGTTACAATTAATCTTCAATTGCGGAATAATGACGTGTAGATAGTACGCGGGTCACAGACGTGACCAGAGTTCACCAGAGGTGACGTCAACATTCGGGGACAGATGTTTTTTCAGGTTATGGTCTACTCATTTAATGAAGATCATAGATAAAACAGTGTTGCAACTTGCAAACTCGTGCTCGCTTGCAGCTAGAAACACTTTAATAAAGGTGCTATTTCATGAGACGCTAAAAAACAGCATGAATGGTCGCGTTCAACAGACTCAACTGTTGCGAATCCATGAGCGCTCAATAGCGATCAGTGGACTTAATAATAAGTTGAGTGAACGTTCGCTGCTATTGATGTATCCTTGCAGATCAAAAATGTTGATTGGATGATCTAAAAGAATACATCAATAGCAGCGAGCGCCCACGGATCCATTACGAAACAGTTGTGTCTACTGAACACGATCATTAATGATTCTAATTAATTCAAAATCATGAACAAGAATGGATTTTAATTATATATTATATATGTACACACACACACACACACACACACACACACACACACACACACACACAAATTGTCGAATTCTTATAATAAATTTACAAAAATTTGTTCATAAAAAATTATTTTATTAAATTTTTATATATTAATACAATTAGGCCTAGTTTCACAATTCACGGTTAACTCTTAACAGAAGTTCGACTTATTCATTATCTCTTTCCAATTTTAGAATTGGAAAAAGATAAGAAACAAGCGAGTTGTAAAACTGGGCCTTATAAAATAATCAAATTTTATCTCTATTATACACGCATGCATGCATGTATGTGCACGCACACATGCACGTATACGTTCGTATTCTTCGTAGTAATAATACAGCTTATATAAAACATAACACAGCAAACAATTAAACTAAAAAAAAAAATAGTTCTTAAATGCTATGTAACTATATATAGGTTTTGTGCAAAAAAATCATTGAGTATCATATTATACCATTCTTTCTATTGCTTTTGAACGTACATGTATAAAGTTCAACATTCTGTAATATTACAGAATATAGTTCGCATGTGGCTTTCTTTATAATAGTATCTCGTTAAAAACTTATTAAGGAACTCCATGTGTTCTGCATTATTAATAGAAATTGAATATTTTCTTGTTCATTCTGACCAAGAGATTAAAGAATGAAATTATCTCTCCATAAATTATCTTTCAATAATGAATCGCAGTTATGTCTTGTAATACAAATTTTCCTGTATTAGCTTCAAATTATATACATATATATTTATATATATGTATACATATATGTATGTATGTGTATATGTATACGTGCGTGAGTATGTATATATATATATATATATATGTAGTTAATCTGATGAAAAAATTCACCATGTGAAAAATCAAGGACTTAAGATTATTCAAGATCATTAAAATATGTCTCCTATTTATTCTATCTTGATATAACTGTCAGTCCTCTATCTCTAATTATGTTGTTAAAAATTGTGAACTTTTTTATTAGACTTACTCTATAGAATGTCTCTTAAAAAATGCTCACAAACGATATTCCTGCGCTATTCCTGATAAAAAAACTGAATCTGGAACTTATGAATCATTTTGCAATTTTTTTTAGTTATCCCACAAAAAAGTAAAATATCTAAAATCGATGCATAAGATAATTGCAAAAAATTTTTAAAAGTTCATCTTTAAGATTGTTGAAAAATATTTTAAAATTGTCTTATCCATTGATTTCACTCGCTTATTCCACAATTTTTAAAAACTAATGTCGCGTTAGCTATTGCGAAAATTGCAAAAGGTTCATAAATTTTAGACTCAGTTTTTGATCAGTATAATAGTGCTGTATGGTTCATGGGCATTTTTTAAGATACATTCTATATAAGCATACACGCATACATACATACACATTACACACAACACACATATATATATATATACACACACACCACACACACATACATACATACATATGTAATTTAATCATCAAAACCAATTGTTCTTTTTGTTTTCCTTTGCCTTGGACTTTGTTTTGGAGTTCTAGGAGATTTATCTGTAAACAAGCATTTGTTATTTTATGTTATTTTTTGTTTTAAAGTTCTTTACGCAATATTTTTTAACTTAATAATGTAAATTAAGAAATTTATAATATCAATCATTTATATAATTTGTACCAATTGAGACAGTGAAATCTATTATCATTAAATGAAAAGAGAGAGTTCGATAGTGAAATCTATTATCATTAAATGAATAGACAAAAATTAAGAAGCAATATTTCACATTAAGATGTTTTTAAATATTTTACAAAGCTACAATTATAGAGCTAGATTTTGCAAAGATCCTTAAAACATAACAAATAAAATTATCTGTATCTCGCTTGTATTGTATAGTGCAAATAATGGAACGAATTTTTATCTATCTCTTTTTAAAAAAAAAAAAATAATTTTATAAGGATCTGCCTACAACTTTTCTTCTTATTATGAATATCATAATTACATTGTAATTTTCTTAGTTTATTTTAGCTATAACTGACCAGAAATTGAGTAAAAATCTTCGTCATGACTTTCGCTGATCCTTAAAAATGCTAAAAGTTATAGCTATGTGTGAAGTTCCACAACTTCTCAATTTCATCAAAAAATTACTATTGTCCAATAAACTCGACTGATTTTAAATGTCATTATGTAAGCATTTTCATTAGCTTTTGGTAAATCTACTACTTACTGATTCTATTGAGAGTTTCCTTCGGCAGCCAATCGTAATCTACATTGTTAGGATTAGATGTACCCATTTCTACTGGTACTTTACGAGTAGTAGAAGAACGCGATTTACGTCCCAGAGATGATAATAATTGTTGACCTCCTACAAGAGTCAATATAACACATGCTGCGAGGAATACATAAAGAAAAATTGTTTCTCCATCAAGACCATCATCTATCTCTATGATTTGTACAGTTTCATTAAAGACTGCTTCATTGTAAGAAACGCCATTCTGCTGAAAAATATGATACATCAACATGCGCAAGTAATATATCCCTAAACATATCGAATTAAAAAAGTATATATAATAAATAAAAAATGTTACATATATAGTGAAATGATTCTTCAAAATCAAAGATTTCAAAATTAATTTTAATAATATAATTTTCTTACTTTTCCATATATCACTTTTCTATAACACGTAAATATAAAATTATACTTGTGAAATTCTTACTTTAAAGTATTCTAAAGTAAACAGTACACAATGCATGTTTTCTTGTTGAGTTGTTTGTTCTAGTAAATTACTAGAATTGTACATAGAGATGTGTTTGAATTTCCCAAGTGCTCACCGAGAATCATGTCAGCCTTATTTAATGTACAGTAAACAAGAATGAAGTGATACATCCAGCTCTCAATTGGGAATTTGAATATAGCTTAGAACACATAATTTCTAATAATTTACTTGAATACAAGCAATCAAACAAGAAATCGTATATCATGTGCCACTAAATTTTTTATTTTTCATGTTTCTCATTTATAAATTATATCATGTAGTTTTCTTTTGTCTAGATTGTAAACTTATTAAACGTTTTTATACATTTTATATGTAATATCTTATATTTAATATCATACATACGGTATCTTTGTAATTCAGGTTAACATTCAAACCGAACGGCCTTCCAGCGAAACTCTCAGATGGTATAAAAGAATAAGCTAAAGTAGCTTCATGTTTCGGTTTCACAACTTTGTTAAACGTAAACGTGGAGAAATTTTGAATATAGAAATTAAAGTCCATTGCATAACGAAAAGAAGCATCCAATGATTCCAAAACAAAGTCATTTTCACCCTTATTAGTAAATCCAACAAGAAATTCTATTATATTTCCAGCTGGCAATTCTGTTCTCAAATTTAAAATGAATTTTAGTATTACAAAAAAATATTGTATATTTTAACCTTAACAGCAAAAAAATCAATAAAAGTACCAAGAGTAGATAACGTATTATGAATAGGTTTTGTAAAAAGTATTGTCGTATCCGCATCAACTGAAGCATTACTAGTATCTTCTTCTGTTTCTTCATCAGTTATTATACTACTTTCTTCACCTTCTACATCAACAATATCATCAATATTCTCATCTTCTTGAGCATAGACATATGCTGCAAGTATAAATACAAATGTGTAAAGATCTATCAAATTTTACATAACATTTAATGTAAATAAATTTAATATAATATAAATTTAAATATTGAGTCATGTTAAATATATTTAACGCAAATTAAT